GTGCTCTGGCTTTTACTGCAAACAAACATCTATATCTTCAACACCCAAGATCACAAGAAAAATACTATCAATCCTAAATTTAGGAAGTGTCCTAAGAAACTTTTTCCTTGTCTGGATTTATGTTTGACAGTTTGGGATCACCTTGGAACGGATCAAAGCAGTAATAATTCATTACTAAATTATATATCAACCTCTGTTTTCCTCTGTATGATAGTTAAAAACTACTTTCAAACCCAAATTACCAAATTATGAACTTAAAACTAAGTTTAGACTATTTGGCAGGAGTGTCAATTCTAAGCCTTTGATAAGAACATGACACGATACAATTTTAAAATTGATATAATTATTAAATACATATATTTTATAACATATTAAATAAAAAATTTTTTGTGAAACTTGACGTAACACAAAAATACTGACACATGAGCCACAGACATGAATTGACACTCCTACTATTCGTTCTTTGAAAAAGACTAGAAAATCTTGATCTGCTTATTTATTATAGTGTGTTCAACATGGGTTTTGCAGATTAGGGGTACCTGAGAATTGTTTATGGTTTGAGAGATGGCCAGAGTGAGTTTAGAAGTTATGTCGCAATGTGTGAGTGTGTAAGTTCTTGGAAGCTTCCCCGGATGCCTCTTTTCATCCACTCCTAAGAATAGAACCTTCAGCTTCGAAGCTTCAAAGATAGATGGCCCAAATAACCTAGCAACCTGATTCAAATCAACCCAAACAATCAATAATAATATAAATATTCCACAAACAAATGAAACCCATAAAAGAGAACAGAAAGTAAAGCACTCTTTATAAGGATTAAAGAAAGAAAGTTACAGGAACAATTGATTGGTTTTTCTTGGGCCTTCTTCTTCTGTAGATGAAGAGAGAACTTTGTTCTTCTGGAGAAGAAGGCTTCAGCTTTGATGGGAGAACAAGAGAAGCAGTCAAAGTAGCCATTTCTGAATCTAGAGAGACCTGCCTAGACTGTCACTTGAAGCTCCAATTTCTCAGGACACCCCACTTTAGAGACAATAAATAATATAATCATTAACCAATTGGAGAGAGAGAGAGAGAGAGAGAGAGAGAGAGAGAGCAGCTTTTGCTTGTACTTTGGGTTTTGCTGGTTGCTTTGCTTAGTAACCTTGAAGTTTCAAACTTCCAAGCTTGGTTTTGAATCTTTTGATATGCGTGAGACAGTGAAGGAGAGAGAGACAGAGAGTAAGGGAGATGCGTAGAAAAAAGAGAGTTGGGCAGGCGTGTTGGCCTTGGAGTTCGCCGCTAATGGCGTTTGCTTTTTAAGTTCCAAGTTCACTATTTTGGCACCATGCGACTTTTGTGCCACTTGTTTCTCTCGTAATGCTATTTGTATTTTATTTATTTATTTAATTTGTAAATTTAATATATTATTGTCATCGAATTGATAGTATGTTTAAATTAACAATGAAGTTTACTACCAATTTAATACTTCTAACTAAATTTTTTTTGGAAAAATTTCAGCCACATTCCTTATATTTCACCATATCTGCAAGGACATTTCATCTATTATTTAAAATATCACTGACATCTCTTTTAATTTATATTTAAACACCACTGACACTCTCTACCGTTAAACTATCATTTATAATAAAAAAAAATCCAAAATACCAAAATTCCCTCTACATAAATCTCAAACAATCTTACATAAAATTTAATTAAAATTCAACCCGATTAAAATTTATATTTTTTTTATTAAAATTCGTGTTGATTAAAATTTATTTTTTACGTATTAAAATTTAAATTGATTAAAATTTATATACTTTTTATGTATTAAAATTAGACCGACTAAAATTTAATACTAGTTGATTAAAATTTGATTCAAGACGTTTAAAAATTTTAATTGACTCGAATAAAATTTTAATCGGCTCTATTTTTAATCCTTAAAAAAATTAATTTTTAATCGACTCAAATTTTAATACATAAAAAATAAATTTTAATTAACTCGAATCGAGTTTTAATCAACTCGATTTTTAATACGTAAAAAAAATTTAAAAATAGATTGATTCTCATTGAAGATATGTCCATCTAGAGAAGGTGTGCATAAAATTTTTCCTAAAATATATCATGGGTAATTTAGAAAAATTGTATTTTAGTTAACACTTTTAATCTGATAGAGGGTGTCAGTGAAGAGTCAAAAAATAGAAACGGTGATTTTGAAGATATAGCAAACTAGAAAGAGTGTGGCTGAATTTTTTATTTTTTTTTTCAACGGTCAATGTGTCCAAACTAGTTTACGCGCATCTCGACTAATCTCTTTCTTAGCCTAGTCAAAGGTAGATCATTCACGCCAAAATTAGGATATTCATAAACGATAAATCTCTCACAACCTGACTCTAATGTCTAGGTTTAGAGTTCATCATTTTTATGAGTCGAACTACCCATTATGATTGATTGTAAGTAATTATATCAGGAAATAACATTAACAAATTAAGTTTCAGTAGAACAAATACAATATTCATGTGTTTTTTTCTAGGGGCGGTTTAGTAAATTTCATTAGTTAGGGTTGGATTGATTTAGATAGATCCATTTAAATTTATTCAATTGGATTTTTTAGAAAAATTCAGATAGGAATATTATATATTTTTATGTCATTCTATATATATTTGAAAATAATTAAATAAAAATAGAAAGAGCTGTGTTTTTTTTTTAATAATTTGACAATAATATCTTTAGTCCAATAAAGCGTTTCATTTAATGTAACGAAATGCTAGTAATCTCCATATTTATAAATGAACTACACATCTATTTATTTTTTAAGTTCGATTCCAAAAATATTAGAATAAATTTTAGGGTTTTTTTTTTTTTTGGTTTCTTCCGCTTATCCTATAAATACATACCTATAATAATTGCTGAAAACGAAAGGGAAGGTTGGTATGAATAATATAACTTGTATGCAATATTATCACCTCGGTAGAGTCATTAAATAGAAGTTTGAAACAAGACACTTCTAAGAAGGATGAGATTATAACATGTGTCCTCGGCACCAAAGCAAATCACTTTCCCCGGTGAAGCCACGTTCACTCGGCACGTCATTCGCTCTAACAAACACGTGCCTTCGACACCGAGTAATGTTATGTTCTCTAATAATGTCACGTTTTCTCGGTGCTGAGGTATCTCTCATTCTCTGGCGCAGCCACATGTCCTCGGCTTCGAGGATACCTCCACTCTGAGGTAGTCACGTGTCCTTGGCTTCAAGGGTACTTACGGGAACTCTAGTCTTCTGGTCTTGCCACGTGTCTCTAACTTTTGGAGATACTACTGATTGACAACTGATCAGTGTCAACTAGATTAGAAATCATAAAGGCATTATACACAACAAGGTCAGAATGACAGAACTAATAAGTCACTCTATCAAGGGGAGTAAGACATGTGGCATGAAGTACAGGTTGAGAAGTGAATAGACAAAAATAATCCTGTTGACATACGACTATCTTAGACAAGTATTTAATGAACCCTCAGTTGATGGTACATCTATGATGGCTCTGAGAGCCTAGAAGAAAGAGCATTAAATGCTCCAAGACTCGAGCATTGAGTGTCTTTTCGTTAAAGAAAGAGTATTAAGTGTTCAGGGGCTAAGCATTTAACGATGGGGGTTCCCTCATGCAAAATAGGAGACGCATTGACCCATGTCTAGGTACTGTCTAGTGCCTAGACCATCAGTAATGATGATACTTTGGGAGTACAAATAGCTCCCAAAAATGTTGAGCAAAGGTAAGCAAATTGACTCTTAAGAAACACAAAAACAATGTTTTATTCCCCTCTCTCAAAGAACTAATTTGATCGTTGAAGGAGATACACCGAAAAACACTCCGACGCTCTTCTAACTTGTTTTCTGTATGCCAGGAATCACCTCCGACCCGTCGGAATCGATCGAAGGACCCCTAAAGTAATTCATCGCCATTCTTTAGGTCCCCTTTGACCCTCTCAACTCAATCCTTGGTATGAGATCAACCATTTTTTCAACGAATACGAGTTCACCATGAAAGAGATTTGTCATTTTCATCTATTGTGCGAAAATCGCCGCGCACACTTTGCTTAACTTTTAATTTGAGATTCTTAGTGAAGCACAAGAGCTTAAATGGTAACATGGATGAACTGTAATTTCAGACGTCTTAAATTTGAATCTTAGTAATTCTTTTTAGGTTATGATGAATTATCTCTTGTGAATATTTTAGTCGTAGCGTAGATAATTTATTTTTGACTGAATTGAAAGGAAAATTAGTTGAAGTGCGCATAAGTTGACTTGTACACTACCGACCATTGAATTAAAAATAAAATAAAATTAGAGTAATGCTATTAAGACTTAAAAATTTGAACTAATTTAATGAAATGTGATTTCGTTACGTAAAAAATTAGCTTCAAACAAATCCATTCAAGCTAATAAAATAAATCCCGGTTGGTAAGAAAGTTTTCACGAATTATTGTTGAATTGACCTCTCAAACTCGCTTAATGGGTGAGTTGTATGTAGATGCATTTAATATTGACACAGCACAAGTTACACAATTTAGGCACATGACCAATTGCTAGACATCACACTCATGATCATGTTAGATGAAAACATGGATGTTATTACACGAAGAATGGCCGGTGCATGCAAATCCACACGTGTATTTGATGTGAGTAAAATGAAAAAGACTCAAAAATCTTGTTTTCAACTTCAAAATTTGTGTTGGAATTCGATCCGAATAAAATTAGAAATAAATATTAATATGACAAATTATATAAACATAAAATTGAGAAAAATTGTCACACTTATTTTGAAAATATTTCAAATGAAGAAAACAGTAAATTTTATACCGCAAATAAAGTACTTATTTAAGTTGAGGCGCAAATTAGAGCAGTCTCTTTAAAACGATTTTCACCTCTACAGATAACATGTCAGATATAATAGATCACAACACGTTGTCTCACGATACAACAATCCAACTACTGGCTATAACTTTTCTACATCTATATAACCTTGAGAAATAAAAATTTCACGCACACATTTCTTTATCCCAAAAATATAACATAATATATACCACAAAAAAAGAAGAAGACATGGGAACTTCATCCATTGTCACCCACACAATGTAACCTATATATAGGTGTATGGAAAATATAACTCCTACCCCAAAATAATTGACTCATCAACTCATACCATAAAACTCAATTATTTTGATCTTTATAATTTATTGACCAAATTCAATATAATACTCACCATAATAATTCTCACAATGAATATAACATATGTAACTTATGGAATATTAAATTTCACCATTATAATTCTTATTATATTTATATTAATGGTTAAACTAGTAACTAACGTGACTCATAAAGATATAAATAAATTTGTATAATCAAGTTAAAATGAAGATGCAAATAAAAGTGAAATTATTGCAATATAAATTAGATAAACAATAAATACTACTTTATTTTTATTAAAATATTTCACCAATTTGAAATGAAAAAAGAATAGACATTACTTGGTATTACATATGTGGTAATCTCATCTTAAATTCTTCTGAGTGAAAGTGTGCATATTATAGACGCACTTACTTCCTATATTGTTGAGTAAGATTTGACCCAACAAGATTCGATCATGGCACGACAACATGATCCTATCACGAAATGACACGACCTACTATTAAGAATAATTAATAGGTTGTGTTAATCTTAAACATAAAAATTCAGAATTAATATGATTAACACATTTAACTAGTATATATAATAAAATACAAGATAATTCAAAATATTTTTTTTTTTTTTTTGCGGTTTAGATCTACCTAAATTTTACAAATTTTGATCCAAGGGCTGAGATTTTTTAGGTCGAGCAGTAGAAGTCATTGTTGCCAGCAGGAATACAGAGGGGACGGATAATGATCAATTATTGGTGGTGCGAGTGGGGTCCTTGGAGAAGGTTTCTATCTTTTACAAATTA